TCAATCTGTATGCTGAGCAAATAATCTGAGAAGCTAGACTATATGAAGAAGAATGGGGCGTCAGGATTGGAGGAAGACTCATTAACAGCCTGCGTTACACAGATGACACAACCTTGCTTGCTGAAAGTGAAGAGGACTTGAAGCATTTACTGATGAAGATCAAAGACCACAGCCTTCAGTCTGCATTACACCTCAACATAAAACAAAAATCCTCACAACTGCACCAGTAAGCAACATCATGATAAACGGAGAAAAGATTGAGGTTGTCAAGGATTTCAATTGGATCCACAATCAACACCCATGGAAGCCGCAGTCAGGAAATCAAAGGACACATTGCATTGGGCAAATCAGCTGCAAAAGACCTCTTTAAAGTGTTCAAAAGCAAAGATGTTACTTGGAGGACTAAGGTGCACCTGACTCAAGCCATAGTGTTTTCAGTCACCTCATATGCATGTGAAAGCTGGACAATGAATAAGGAAGACCGAAGAAGAATTGATGCCTTTGAATTGTGGTGTTGGCAAAGAATATCGAATATAACATGGACTGCCAAAAGAACGAACAAATCTGTCTTGGAAGAAGTACAACCAGAATGCTCCTTAGAAGCAACGATGGCAAGTCTATGTCTCACGTACTTTGGACATGTTATCAGGAGGGATCAGTCCCTGGAGAAAGACATCACGCTTGGTAAAGTAGAGGGTCAGCAAAGAAGTGGAAGACCCTCAACGAAATGGATTGACACAGTGGCTGCAACAGTAGCCTCAAGCGTAGCTACGACTGTGAGGATGGCGCAGGACCGGGCAGGGTTTCGTTCTCTTGTGCATAGGGTCGCTATGAGTCGGAACCAACTTGACGGCACCGAACAACAGCAGCAACATTATTTGCTTTAAATATATCCATTGTGCTTTTTATCTAAATATTTAAAAAATTTTTTCAAGGGTTTTATTTGTGAATGCTCAGAGATGGAGTCTTGAACCCACTCCTTGTGTTAATTTCCTTTGTCTCCCTGCTGCCGCTTCCCAGCAGCACCCACGTAAGGGGAAGCCATATCTCTGGCACAGCAGGAGGGCCTGTGCCTGGAAAGGGAGCTGTAGTCACAGCTCTTATTTCTATGACGCGGGAGTGATGTTTCTGGGTTGGCTTACAAATATAAGTTGGAAAGTTGTTTTGGTATCGCCCGAAAGGGGCTGAGGCCTTAGTCTTCCCGAGCCCCAAGCCAGAGCTGACATTTGGCCACCAGCAGGAACCATCAGTGAGTAGATGTGAAAACAGCATGGGGGAGATGTCTGAGCTCCTCCAGCCTCTCATGGCGGAAGGAGAACCAAGATCAACAGCCTAAGGCTGACTCCCATGAGGCGGTGGCCAGACAAGCCTCCTCTCTCTGCCATCTTTACTAATTCTGACACCAACCATTTCTCACACAGCGCTCTCTACTTCTCTGCTGGGTTCAGTAATTCATTGCAGTGGCCATCCAGAACTCACAGACCACACTCAGGGTTATGGGGTTTATTAGGGAAGTAACAATTACAGTTCAGCTCTAGAACACTCAGGATACAGTTCTTCCATCAGGATAGCCTCTCCCCAGCTGAGCTCGCAGGCACGCCTCTCCCTGGCCCTCAGTCTCTGCCCAAAGGCACTTAGCGTTCTCTCTGCATGGGACAGGAAGCCCACTGTGCCGTCTGCTGCTGCTAGGTCTCTGCTGCTGGCCTCTCCTTCCTTGGTCGTGGTGGGCTCCTCCCCTCTGCTCTGGAATTGGCTCTCTTTTAAAGCAAAACTGACCAATCCCCTTGGATTACCCTATCACACAGTCCCGCCCAATCACCTGGGTGGGAGTTACAAGACCATGACTAGAAAGGCCCACACAAAAGTAATCAATCAGTAATCAATCGCACCGCAGTACAGGAAGATGGAAGGATGGTGTATCAGGCCCCTAAGCCTGCTGAAACAAAGCACCATAAACCGGGTTGTTTAACACAACGGGCATCCACTCTTTCCCAGTTCTGGAGGCTGGGAGTCTGAAATCCAGGTGTTGGCACGGTTGGTTCCCTCTGGAGGGACGTGATAAGCACTTGGCCTTGTGCTAGTTGGTTATCTACGTGACAGCACGCCGTGTCCTCTGTCCCACAGCAGGCCTGGCCCAGTGGGACCCAGCAGATCCTGCTCCCCCCCACGTGGCAGCAGCTCACGGGCGTGGCCACCCACACGTCCGTGCAGCACGCGACCGTGATTCCGGAGACCATGGCAGGCACCCAGCAGTTGGCCGACTGGAGGTAAGCACCCTTCTGGGGCGAGTGGGTGGGAAGGTGTATGCACCCCCGATCCCAAGAACACTCAAGCTGGCCAGGACCTGAGTTACCTGGTTTGCAAACAGCTTTCTAAATTAAAAAAAAATCATGTTAAGGGTGATAGAAGAATTTGGAAATGAATAAGGGTGACGGTTGAACATCAAGATGGACGTGACTGATGTCACTGAATTGTACATGTAAAGTATGAAACAGCAAACATTTTGTTACTTATATGTTTAGCACATTTTTTTAGAAGCTTCAGGCTTAGAAAACAGAAGAATACAGGGTAGCAGATGACTACAGGGTGATGAGAGGTTGTTTATAAATGAATGCACAGGCCGCCAGGAGCTCCGCCTCACGACTCTCTGGCCAAATGCCCGTTTGGACCCAAAATTCATCTGCATCGTTTGAGCCCCTGTACAAGTCCCCAGGGTGGCTCCACGCAATTTTTGGTTGTTTCTGAGAATTAAATTCTACTCTCAGCAAACAAAGATTTGTCCCCAGTGGAAGGATGCAGATGAGAGTCCTGGGGGCCTCGGCCACCCAGGAAGCGTTCTGGAAGCGTCTCAAGACAGGGGCACACTAGAGTGGGGTCTGGCCTCCGGGGAGGGCTTCACAGAGAGGACCTGTTTGGAGTGGAAAGCTCCGATGTGCTTGTCAAGTGTGCCCCTCCAGTGAACAGTCCTGCATTGTAGATTAGAGGTAGCTCCCCAGGCCCGGGACACCCAGCTGGCCACCGGCAGCACACCATCCCACCTGCTGCTTCCAGAACTCTGCCCGCCCGCTCACCAGCTTCCTCCCGGACAAGGTGCTCTGTTGTTTTTACAGCCACCTTTCCCTTTGCCGTGTACCTGCCCCCCCACCCCACCACCATGCCCCCTTTGCCGGTGCAGAGCCAAATAGCACCCCCAGGTGGTCCCCAACACCCCACGTCCCTGCAGGGCTGTGTCTCAGCCCAAACATCAGGCAGGTTAGTCCACACCACCCTCCTGCCACCCCCAGCCACCCCTCAGCTACCGTGGATAAGGTCAAAGGGAGGAGATGGGAACCGCAGCCGCCGCCTCCGTCCCCGGGCTTTATTCAGACTAGTAAAAAGACGGGGGCTGTGGTGCTTCAGTGGCAGAATCCTCACCTTTCTTGGGGGAGACGTCGGTTCGATTCCCGGCCAGTGCACCTCATGCGCAGCCACCACCTATCTGTCAGTGGAGGCTTGAGTGTTGCTGTGATGCTGAACAGGCATCAGCAGAGCTTCCAGACTAAGACCAGGAAGAAAGGCCTGACAATCTCCTTCTGAAAATCAGCCAGTGAAAACCCCATGGAGCTTAGCAGTCTGATCCACAAGCCATCGTGGTGAAGGCACAGGACCAGGCAGTGTTTGTTGCATTGCGTATGGTGTCGCCTGAGTCCGGGGCCGACCCACGGCCGCTAACAATACCGGCAGAAAGGAGAGCAGTGCACAGGCGCCTTCCCCCAGCCCCACTCACGCCCTGATGACAGCACCCCCGTGCCCACCCCCAGGTGCTGGGGACACCTTCAAACTAGGTCAGACGGGGTCCACCTCTAGCTCTACATGTCCTGGCCATCACACCCACCTCGCAGGATTGTCGGGGGGCTGAAGCTGAGATAAAATACAAGGTACTCACCATATTTCACAGGGACCACCCAGCGTCTGGTCTGTGTGGCAGGCAGTAAATGGGCCACTCTGCCCTGGCCCCTTGCATATCATGTGGGCTCAGCCAGGCTCCGGAGGAACAGCAGCCGGGTGGAAAGCCCTCTGACAGTGGTGTGTTCCCACCCCTGTGCTCCTGCAGCCCACCCACGCCCTCCTCCTTCCTTCCTCTCTTTACACCTCTTGCCTGGCTACCCAGGAGACATCAGAAGCCCACACTCTTTGTTCCCAGTCTCTGTCCATTCCACATGTGGCCCAAAGGACAGCCATAATCATGGCTGATAACAAGAGGGAACCAGAGCCAGACCTGTAGCAAAGGAGAAGAGCGCCCTCAGTCATCACCCCGGAAGGTTCTGGAGTCCACTCACGTGCCCCAGAGACTCCATCCCAGTCACCACCAAAGTGCCTATCAAGTTGTTTCTCTCTTATTTTTCCAATTCGCAGACAGGATTTTCTAAGTTTTCAAATTCAAACGAAGCCTCCACTAGCTTTTAATTTCATTATGTGTTAAATGGGCTTTTAAGTCGGTGAACTGATCACTTTTAATAATATTTCTGTAGGTAGGCAAACAAACCTCTAAGCTCCAGACAACCCAGATTATGAAAACGTGTGAAACGTAACCCATTTTTAGGGTGAGGGCTGCCGGCATTTATACCAACATGTGTCTGACCGTCATTAATTTTGATTTAATACCAAACGCCCTACACGCCTGGTCAACCTTCAGTTAATCTAGTTGTTCATTTGGTGAGTGTGTAATTAATTGATCAGAGCTGCTCTGCTGCACGGCTAAGCTTTGTGCTGGCCGCTGAGGGAACCCAGAGGAAAGTTAACACTTCCTAACCCCAAAAACGCAGGCTCTGGGCTACAGAATTTGTTTTTCCCCATCAACTACAATTTCCTCATTTATAAAATGGTACTGCTAAGGTCCCCTGCCTTCCTCACAAAGAGCGAAATGAGATAACCCATTGGAGGTGCCTCTAAAACTCTAAAATAAAACACCTGTCATTGTTCAGCATAGTCACCTGCTCAGGGACTTTAACAGTTGTAGGGAATACTTAACCACCTCCCCCCAGAGCTTAAGAACCCTGAGCCTACTCACTTTGGTCTTCTTCCCACTCAGGGATGGGTTAGGCAATGAGCAGGTACACATGGGCTTACTTACTAATCTGTAGTGCACAGTTTCACCTGCTTTTCATATGAAACCCATGTGAAATTGTGCACTACAGATTAGTAAGCCCGTGCGTACCTTGCTCACTGGTTGACTGCCCCGCCCGTTGGATGTTCTCCTCACGTGTCAGCCAGTTCGCCCTGTCCCTCCTTCAGAACACCACTTCACTGCATCTGGGAGACTCACCTGACTGCCCCACCTGGCCAGGTTCATCCCTTATTACCTCAGCCACCTGGAGGCAGGCAGGGAGCTAGCCAACTGCCAGCATTGTAGGTTTTCAGTCAGCTTTTAATCCGGGAGGAGGGTTTATCTTATAAAGGAACTAAGCTTGTATAAAACTAAGAAGGCGCCTCTTTTTCCGTCTTGCTTTTAGGAACACACATGCCCACGGCAGCCATTACAATCCCATCATGCAGCAGCCTGCGCTGCTGACGGGGCACGTGACACTCCCAGCCACCCAGCCCTTGAACGTGGGTGTGGCCCACGTCATGCGCCAGCAGCCCGCCAGCACCACCTCCTCCCGGAAGAGTAAGCAGCACCAGTCGTCGGCAAGGTAGGTGGGGGAGTGGCTGGGAAGAGGGAACCCAAAAAACCACCTTTGAGGAGGGCTCAGAAGAAAGGTCTGGCTATCTACTTCTGAAAATCGGCTAGTGAAAACCCTGTGGATCACAAGAGAGCATTGTCTGATGCAGTACTGGAAGATGCTCCCTCTCAGCTGGAAGGCGCTTAAAATACACAGTGGCTGCAACAGTGGACTCGAGCATACTAACAATCATGAAGATGGCACAGGACCGGGCACCATTTCATTCTGTTGTCCATGGGGTCACCCTGAGTCAAAGGAGAATTAGGGAAGGTCCGCCTGTGCTCTAGGTCTCGGCTTCTAGGCAGGAAGCACGTCCCCAGCAGAAGCCAGCAGAACATCACATGGGCTGAGGACTCTCTAAGGAGCCTTGCAGTGGGGACCAGCAGGGCAGGGCCTGACCCCAGGGAGGCACTGGGCACCACATGCAGGAAGTGCTCCCTCCAGTCTGTGTGGTGGTGGCCCACCTCTCTCCACCCCTGGGGGGCGGGGGCCAGAATCCCGGTGTGTCCAACGCTGGTGCCTCAGGGCTCCCAACCCCTCCACTTCTCTAGAAAACACTCAGGCTCACTTCTCAAGTTTCACCTTGGAATCATTTCCAGCAATGACTTTTTAAAGAGAGAGCAGATAAATGTGTTTTCTTTGAAATCTAAGGTTAGAAATTTAACTCGCTTGGCTGCTTGGCAGTGTAGGTATCACTGGGGTTAGCCCAGAACCCTCGCCAGCAGAGCAACTGTCTTCCCGTTCGCCCTAAATCCAGTCTCATCTCTGTCAGCTCCTAAAAAAGCAGCATCAGCACAAGGCTGTATGCTGTACGAGTCCGTTGATATGGCTTTCTGGAAAAGGCAAAACTAGAAGGACAGAAATCAGATCAGTCTTTCCCAGGAGCCTGAGTGGAAGGAGGGGGAGGCTGATTGGGAAGGGAGCATGAGGGGATTTTCTGGGGTGGAGAAAATTTTCTCTACCTGGGTTGGGAGCAGGGGTGTTACCTGACTGTATATTTGCCAAAACTCAGTGAACACTTCAAAAGAGTGAATTTTGCTGGTGTTGGCGAAGAATATTGAATATACCATGGACTGCCAGAATAACGAATAAATCTGTCTTGGAAGAAGTACAGCCAGAATGCTCCTTAGAAGCAAGGATGGTGAGACTTCGTCTCACATACTTTGGACGTGTTATCAGGAGGGACCAGTCCCTGGAGAAGGACATCAAGCTTGGTAAAGTAGAGGGTCAGCGAAAACGAGGAAGACCCTCAACGAGATGGACTGACACAGTGGCTGCAACAACAGACTCAAACATAGCAACGATTGTGAGGATGGCGCAGGACTGGGCAGTGTTTCATTCTGTTGTACGAGGTCGCTGTGAGTCAGAACCGACTTGTAAGGCACCTAACAACAACAACAAATTATGCCTCCATCAACCTGACTCTGAGGAGCCCTGGTGGTGCCATGGTTAAGCGCAAGACTGCTAACCAAAGGTTCAAACCCACGCAGCAGCTCCTTGGGAGAAAGAACTGGTGATCTGCTCCCATAAAGATTACAGCTTAGAAAACCCTATGGGACAGTTCTACTCTGTCCTATAGGGTCACTGTGGAATCGACTTGACAGTACCCAGCCACAACAAACCTGGCTTTAAAAGGGGAATGGGCTCCAAACCAAAAAAAAAAGAGTCACGATCAAGATGGGATGCCTGTAGCATTGCTCGCACACTCCTCTCCTTGGTGCCGGCTTGGAGCAGCCTAATGACTTCCTTGGGAGAGCTTTATCAAGAGAAGCCCAGCCTGTGAAATGGTGCATTTTGGTGTTCTCCATCCTTATAGAGCAAGGCATCAGGAATTGGGCCTGCTTTTTTCGTTCTGATTCAAAAATCAATCCAAGAGCTGACTCTCCTCAAGTTAAGTAGTCCTTGTTCGAGATCCCTTCCGTGACTGTTTCTGACAACTCAGGCAAGTTCGTCACAGACCAGTGTAGCCCTCCACGGTGCTCTGTCTGACACCCTGTGATGACTGCCCACGTCATCGTTAGGTTGGGCAGCAACCAAGGCCGCCATCTTGATGCCCATATGCTGTCAAGGTGCAGGACGTAGTCACACAGACTCTGATTTGAGCCAAGACTGAGCTCCTGAACATCCTTGTGGGTCCCCTCGGCCGAGTTGAGGCGCTAAGACCCTCGGCCTCCCAGCCTGCTTATGAAGTCCTGCCTTCTACTTGCTACCCAGCTGGTTTATGAAGGCCCATTGGCAGCACATTTTAAGATCAAGATAATTACAGTGAGAGTCGTGTATGAGCCTAATTTTGAGACACATGCCTGAGGCCAAACACTGTGGAAGACCAGAAGGCTCTCCCTGGAGGGCGGTGCAGCCAGGCACATGAATGCCAAGTGGAGATGTTATAATGGCTGCAGTAGTGGAGGCATAATCTCAAAACTGTATCATGTATAACCATAGCAAGTATATGGGTTTATATTCAGTACACACAGTCACTTATTACCAGCCCCCCGAAAAAGAACCAGCCACGTATCTGACACCAGCTAGATAGAAAATTAAGGAAATCCACCTTTGTTGCATTATTTTCACTTTCCTGCCATCTCTGTAGGTGGAAGGTGCTAGAATCTCTAAGGGCATAGCAGAGTCCCCGAGTCTCATTGTGTGTTGGCTTTGGCCTCTCACTGTAGTATAGGTATTACGAGGGTCAGCAAGAGTTGGATGGGGAGAGAAGGTATTTTTTTTCGCTAGAGTGACTAGAAACAGTACTGACAAATTTAAAAAGGAATTTCCAGCCATTCAAAATCAAGGTGTCCTAAGCATGCCTTCTCCCACTTTCTCATTGCCATCCAAGCAGACAGGTGAGGCCCCTGAGGCTCAGGTTTCCATGTCCAGAAAAATCTCTTGCTTTAGTTACACATACACACGAGCACTTCAACAACCACGTCCTTTGCCAGAAGAAGAAGGAAGAAAGCTGAACTTCTAGGTAATCGAATTTAGATGCTTTAGACCCGGAAACGGTAAGAAAGAGTGTTTTGATTTACTAAATGGCAGCCAGCCGTTAGCAAGGAGACCAAAGCTTTATGTGGCAAATACCACTTCTCCCACCACCCCCAGAGCAAGCGATGAGTACGTTTAAGCGTGCTTGTGGCCATGAGCAAGCAGAGCTAGGAAGTAGGACCTGGGCCCTGAGGACAGGAGACAGTAGGGGGCAGATACATCTGCCCCCGGGGTGGCTCAGTGGTAGAATTCTCAAGCTTCGTGAGGGAGAGCCAGCTTCCATTCCCGGCCAGTGTACCTCATACACCACTGCCACCCATCTGTCTCTAGAGGCCTATGTGTGGTTATGATGCTAAACAGGTTTCAGCAGAGCTTGCAGACTGAGACAGACTAGGAAGAAAGGCCTGGTGATCTACTGAAAATCAGCCAGTGAAAACCCCATGGGTCACAAAGGTCCAGTCCACAACTGATCATGGGGATGGTGCAGGCCTGGGCAGCATTTCGTTCCATCCTGCAGCCAACCACCACAACAACAACCTCTCCCCGCCAGGAAACGTGCCCTGCCTTTGGGCATAGCCCTCCCCTCTCCTCCAAGCCCTGGTGCTGCCTTGTCCCGAGGGGGGCAGGCACCTGGAGCAAACCGAGCAGGGAGGCTGTGTCCGTCTGAGTAGCCACTGATTACAGAGCCCTGGAGCAGCCACGTCTCCAGTCACCCCCGTATCTGACAGCTCCGCCCTCTGACGCTCCTTCTGGAGGTTTGGCACAACTGGTGTTTCTGGTCAGCCAGGTCCTGAGATGGCGCTGTGGGCCGGTCTCCCCATGAGTGTCTGCCTTTGCCGTTCCAGGAACGTGTCCACCTGCGAGGTGTCCTCCTCTCAGGCCGTCAGCTCCCCGCAGAGGTCCAAGCGCGTCAAGGAGAACACGCCCCCTCGCTGCGCCATGGTGCACAGCAGCCCGGCCTGCAGCTCCTCCGTCACCTGCGGGTGGGGCGACGTGGCCTCCAGCAGCACCAGGGAGCGGCAGCGGCAGACGATTGTCATCCCCGACACCCCCAGCCCCACTGTCAGCGTCATCACCATCAGTAGTGACACAGACGAGGAGGAGGAGCAGAAGCACGCCGCCACCAGGTGAGGCCCGCCGAGCTCCCACATGGAGGGGAGGTGCCTGATGGTGCGCGTTGTAGGCACGGCAGGTTGCCAAGTTAGCTTTCCGTGGGCCTGGGCCATTTCCGTCATCAGTCATAGTGACCCCTCTCTCCTGACCCCTAACTCTGGTTTTGCCACGTCCTAGAATCCTAAAGTCGCTTCAAACCCAAAAAACCCACTGCCGTCATGTCAATTCCAACTCATAGTGACCCCATGGGGTTTCCAAGGCTGTGAATCTCTACGGAAGCAGACTGCCACATCTTTTTCCCACGGAGCCCCTGGTGGTTTCCAACTGCCGACCTTTTGGTTAGCAGTCAGTCCCTTTAACCACTGCACCACCAGGGCTCCACAGTTACCTCGAGGGAACATCAAACAGATGTTTCCATAGTTGTTCAACACCGAAATAACTCCCAGTCGCGTTGGTTTTAGAAAATAGCAATAGGGCCTGGAGAGTTAGGACTTGAGACTGTGGAAATCAAGCACACAAGGATTGTGTTTCACCCCCATGAGCTTAAAGCTCTCTGCCTCAGGCTGTTGGCTTTATTTGAGATATTCCTCTGATACTGCCGTGGCTCCCTCAGAGTTTGAAGTAATTGTCCAGTTCATCAGAACTTCCCTGTGTCTGCTTAGCCCAGCCTCTCAGACTGCCGGTTGGCTGGCTCTCCACCGGGAGAGCACCACTGCTTACTCCAAAGTAGTCATTAGCTGGTGCCTCCTGGGGAGAGAGCGGAGCCTCTTCTGCGTCCCAGCCAGACTACGTGGAAATGCAGTTAAACACTCGGCGGCGCAGCTCCTGAGGTGCAGACAGATGAGCCCCTGGGTCCTGCCCCCAGAACAGTCGGTCCCCTGGCCGCCTGCACCCCACGTTCTACGGGCCCTGTAGATACTGAGGTCTCGCAACCCCGTCGTGCCTGGTCCTATGCAGGGGACCTGAGCCCCAGGAGGGGAGGGGAGGCAGGTCCTCCAAGCCCAGTACTGCTCCCCCACACATCCGTGACTGTGTGTGCGTGCTTACGGTCTGCAGCGCCACCCTTGTCACTGATGTCGTTACTAATGCAGCGTCACCGATTAGTAATCACAGATCCAATTGATTAGCAGTAAATCCCCAACCTTGAAATCACTGTAAACTATACAGATGGACAGGTGAAGCCATCCTCATGATGGCCAGTCCTGCAGGGGCGCCCCTCCCACAATTACTTCCTACTGTGCAGCGGGGAATGGGAAGGCTGCCCAAGGCCAGGGGCACAGCCAGAGTGATGGGTGGGCCCCACAGTTTCCCATAACCCTTTGCCCCAACTGGAAAACAGCAAAAGTCCTTTAAAAATCCTACTATCAACTAGATTGAGTATTGTTTTTGAAGGCCGAGGTTGAAGGGGATGTAGATGCCTGTCCTGTGTGCTCAGGGAGAGTGTGGTGTGTATCTGAGGAACAGGAGGTGAGGCGACAGTCCCTCCATCAGCCAGAGGACTGCCCCAGGAAGGAACAGACGCACTGACCTGTTGGCAGCCTGGGAGGACCGGAGTGTCACGACTGAGAGACAGTGGTGGGGAGAAGCTAAGCATATGCCAAGTGAGGAGCAGCAGATACTGATGGTGGGAGCCATCGCTTCATGATGTGAGAAGTGGGGCGGGGGGCAGCTGCTGCAGACGGTGAACGCATTCTAACTGCTAACCGAAAGGCTGGCGGTTCAAATCCATTCAGGAGCACCTCAGAAGAAAGGCCTGGTGATCTACTTTCAAAAAAATCAGCCATTGGAAACCCTATGGAGCACAGTCATACTCTGACACACATGGGGTCGCCATGAGTCGGAATCAATTTGACAGCAACTGGTAGTGGTGGACCTGCCAGACCAGGATGATGAAAACGTACCAGCAACTTGAAGCCCAAGGATGACGCTACAGAGTCAGACCAGAGAGGAATCAGGGAGGGGTCCACTGTCCACAGAGGCGATGGGAGCTCCCAGAATGAGATACCATAATGTTTTTTGGAAAGATCAAATGACCGTTTCCTTAAAGTTCTAGGTACCCAGAATGCAGGAAAGTGTACTTGAGTCTGAGCTGGATGAAACAGAAACCAGGAGCTGTTTTGTTTATAGGGAAACCACTGTGCAATTGTGATCACATTATTGTGACCACATTTCGGAACGGGAAGAAAATGGGAGAAATACAATGGCTTGTTCTTAGAAATCAGAATTATTATGAAATTTGACATAGCAAAGATTTCTTGGCCCCGCCAGGGTAAGACAGGATGCTAGGGACTGCAGATATTACATAAATAAGGTAGACAGTCCCTGTCCTCGGGAGGTTTGCAGAATAATAAGAAAATAAGACACACAAACAAATCATATAACACAAAGCAGAATACCAGCTCCAGAAAAACGACTGAAGTTCTGTGGAGATTCAAGGAGGAAATAGCCTGAGGAAACAGCAGGGCAGAGGGAACTTTTGAAGGCCAAAGATCTGGGCAGGTGTGGACAAACGGTAGAAGAGGAGAGATTGTGAGTTCAAGCAAGGAGATTGAGGGGCAGAACCTCAAAGGTGGGCTAGTGGGATCAACAGCGCAGGGGGGGCGCTTATCAAAGACCGAGCGGGAGGCAAGGAAGAAAGAGATTGCAAATGGAAAGGGGAGATGTGGAGGGTTCCCCTTAGATGGGGTGGTCAGCTTTGCTGGGAGGGAAAGTGGGGCAACTACATCTGTCCTGGAAAGCCAGGATTCACCACCCCCCACGTGCAGCCACAGAGGGGTACCACTTGGGCTCTCTGGCTGGAGAGCTTCTCTAGACCTTGTGTTCCAGCTGAACATTAGAGAATCTGCCCACTTTGACCTACGATGATTTCTCCTCCTGTGCTGTGAGCATCTTGATTCTGATCTTCTGTGTTCCTGCCCTCATTTTCTATTTGCCACTTACCTCCAGTTCTAGAATTTTGGCTCCAGGCGCTAGCCCTGTAAGCTGTCTGAAAAACGATGAATTCCCCTAAGGTGACTCTGGCCATGGCTAGAGCATTGGTCTAAAGACAGAAAACAAACTGTACTTTTGTTATACCAAACAGATACTTTTCTGGGGCCCTCTGATTTAAATCTTTCTAAGGGATTTTGATTTGAGGAGCATTGGAGTGGCCACACGTGTGAACAAGCCCTCTCCTCTCACTTGAGATCTGCTTGGACAAAGTGGACAGCTGCGTGCCTGACTGTTCAGACCCTCTGCTAACGTGGCCTTGTGTGGAAATGATCTTTTAGAGGTTGCCATGCCATATTGTAGAACCTTCGGGCAGAAGGGTAATTTTTAAAGTGTGTAACCAAAGTGACTTGTTTCAGCTGATTTCATTTCAGTTAGAAATGATTTTGTCCAGTCTCAGTTATTCATTCATTGAATTATCTGGATATTTCTAGTACAGTTGTCCCCCCCTTATCCGCGGTTTCGCTTTCGGAGGTTTCAGTTACCTGCAGTCAACCACTTTCCGACGGTGTTAAATGAGTAGTGTGGTGAAATCTCACCCCTTCCCGCACCATCCTGCCCGGAGACCACATTCACATAACTTTTGTTACAGTATATTGTTATAATTTTTCTATTTTATGTTTCGTTATTGTTAATCTCTTACTGTGCCTTATTTATGAATTAAACTTTATCATAGGTATGTATGTGTAGGACAAAACACAGTATATATAGGGTTCAGTACTATCTGCGGTTTCAGGGATCCACGAGGGCGGGCCTTAGAACGTATCTCCTGTGGTTAAGGGGGGACTGCTGTAGACAGGTTTTTGGTGGGTTGTTTTACTTGGGTTATCAGTGTACTGCTACTGTCTGAATTTCATTCTGCATGAGTCAGCAGCTGCTCAAAGATAGTACCACAACCAATGTCACCGAAATGTGAACTTTAAGAAAATTGATTCATAAATATCAGCAATTTAGATATGGAGCCCTTGTGGCATAGTGGTTAAGTGCTCAGCTGTTAGCCAAAAGATTGGGGGTCCAAACCCCCCAGCCGCTCTGCGGGAGAAAGATGTGGTAGTCTGCTTCTGTAAAGATTACAGCCTTGGATACCCCATGGGGCAGTTCCACTCTGTCCTGTAGGGTTGCTGTGAGTCAGAACTGACAACAGCAACGGGTTTGATTTTCAGGTTTGGGTTAGTTTAGATATAAAAACAATTATTTGGGGCAGTCTTAGAAGGTTGATATAAAAAATATTTGACTACAAAAATGTTTTTCTTCTTTAAATTGAAAATCTAGATAAATTATTGTAGATGGGGCACAGTCAGAAAACTGATTAACGGCTGCTTGAAAGACTTTGGCCTGGAAAATGCGTGTGCCCCTCGGTAGAGGGAACAAACCCACACGCTCGTTCATTACTGCATGTGAACATCAGTGGAATGACAACCAGGTAGCTCTCTTCTCTCCTGCTTTTGGTTAAGATACTGGCAGCCAAGGTAGAATTCCGGCTGTCCTCATGGAGTCATCTGATTAAAGCATGAGTGAAGGAACAGAGGACCCTGGACACATGGTGTCATTTGAAGGGACAGTTTCTCAGTTCTGAGTAGCAGCTCACTCCCCTGCTTGAAAGAGATTCAGTCAGAGGAATCATGTCAGGAGATGAGAGGCTGTTTCGTTCATCCCACTTCACTGTGTCCTCCTCCTTGCAGGCTGTCTTAGTTATCTAGTGCTCCTGTAACAGAAATACCACAAGCGGGTGGCTTTAACACACAGAAATTTATTTTCTCACAGTTGGGAGGCTAGAAGTCCGAATACAGGGTGCCAGCTCTAGGGGAAGGCTTTACCTCTCTGTCCATTCTGGGGGAAGGTCTTTGTCTCTTCAACTTCTGTTCCTTGGCTCCTTGGTGATCTTCACATGGCATGGCGTCTGTCTTTCCCCATCTCCGCTTGCTTGCTTGTTTAAGCATATATCTCAAAAGAGATTGACTTAAGACACAGCCTACAGTAATGTGGCCTCATTAACATAACAAAGAAAACTCATTCCCAGATCAGATTATAACCACTATAGGGGTTAGGATTTAAAACACATATTTTTGGGGAGACACAGTTCAGTCCATAACACACACCTTCATTCAGAACACCCTGGTAGCTGAGGAGCATGGCTATGGAGCTGCATATTCTGAAGGGCTGCACCTGGAGGAAGAAGAGCTCTACCCAATGTCCCGCAGCAGCCTGGGGGACACAGCAGTATATTACAGAGCCACCACTGTTGCATTGCCACCTTCTGGGGCCCTTGATGCCTCTGCCAGGGTTCCCCCAACAGATGGAGGAGGGTACACATGAGGTTTAGACGCCATAGGGCAGAGCACTGCTCAGGGAGTGGACTTATACTGAGGTTAGGACAGCTTATTAAACTCAAGGGCTGGTTTAGGGAGAGAGGACCAGGTCGCAGAAGGAGGTGGAAGGAGAAGGTAAACCTTCTCCTGTTGTGACCTCATAGGTCAAGGCCTGGGTACCAACTCAGGGTTCCTTCCAGGCACCTGTCTGTGATTCTTTAGAAAGTAGTCCAAAAATCACCTAATGATGGTTTGTATGTATGTGTGTATAGATGCACGCATGAATGAATGAGTGTCACCAAATATGCCCCAGAGGAAGCAGGACGAGGAGTTTCAGTTAGTTTTCATGTTCTGTGCTTGTGGGTGACTCTGGGGAGGTGAGAGAGAGTGCAACATTGCAGCTGGGAGCAACAGCTCTGGGTTCAAACCCTGACTCTGCCCCTCACTAGGTGTGTGACCTTGTGCGAGTAAGTTACTTTTGCTCTCCATGTCTCAACGTCATTGTCTTTGAAATGAGAGCAGTAACATTCTCTGCTGCACCCTCTTGCTGTGAGGATAGAGGCGATAACACATCTAAAGCACTCTGAACAGTAGTTGGCATGCACCCAATCAAGAGTGCCTGTATTTGGTAAGCCCACGGGGTCGTCATGAGTCGGAATCGACTCAAAGGCAGCTGGTTTGGTTTTCTGAGTCTCAGGCAGTGGTTCCCTCCATTGGGGCTGATTTCTTTGCTCCTTGCTCCTTATTTCTTTCTGTCACTTTAAAAGGATGGAAAACATCTGTCATCATGACAACACAATGTCAGCGTCAACCCCGGTGGCTTCGTTCTGCGCCTAGAAGTAAGAGTCTGCCGAGGCCATTTCAGCAAACATTTCTCACTCCACTCTGTCATGCTCTCTCGTTTCCATGAGCCAACTTGTAGTGGGATTGATAAGCTATCAATAACGGTTAGCCATAATAGTGGAGTGACTCCTAGTAGTATCAATACATGCAAGCCTCCAGAACCATCAGTAGGAACCTCAGAGTGACTCATTAAACACTTGCCATTTGTTCTTCAATCAGCAGAGTAAATTCAGGTGGAGCACAGAGGTGTCTAGCAACAGAAGAGATTCAAAAGAGCTGTCAAATTAATTCACCTGTTCCAAACCTGTCCTGTGTAAATCCAGAAAAGTAGGAAAATCCACATTAAACTGTGTCGGCCATCTTTGTTCATTAGGCATAGGGACTTGTCAAGAGTTGAGAGAGGTCTTAGCCCACACTTCTTGGTGGATAACAGGATGCGGGCACGCAGAGGTTCCTTAGCCCTCTCGGGGAGGCTCCCTACCTGGGGATTTCCATCCAGGAGGTGGCCATGAATCCCCATAGGTCGGCAAGGCCAAGCGTTCCCCTGGGACAAGATTTTTGTCAGAATGCCGTCCTTAGTAACCAGAAGCTCATGATTCATGAAGTAGCGTATCTCAGGTAGTTCTAGTTGTCAGAAAAACCTTACTCATGTTGAGTGGCGGCTTCGCTCCGTTTCTAGAAAAGCCCTATGATGTGGGTACTATCATCCACATTTTCCCAACAAGGAGGCGAATCACTGAGAGGTGAAGTGACTCGCCCACAGCCACCGCGGCTCATGTTGAGGGCAGTGCTGCTGCAGACAGTGAGGGGCCTTCCACCCTGAGCCAGAGGGACCTCGCGTGCAGCCCCTAAGGGAGTGTCCAGCCCAGATGTGACCTGCTAGACAGAACCCAGACAAGACGTTTGGGGTGGGGTCAGGGGGCCTCTTGCGGGGCACCCTCCCCAAGCCCCTCAGTCACCGGGCCATGGCCAGCCTTTAGCAGGTCAGTGACCCTGCCTGGCCTGACACTGCCCTTCTGCCTGATGGTGGAGCTTTGGAGCTTCCCCGTCAAGGCCTGTGACTGCTGTGTGACCTTAGGCAAGAGGCCCCACCAGGCTGTGCCTCGGTAGGAGCTCTATAAATACCTTCGTATTTTATCAAGCGAGCTGGAAACGGACCATCTGCCCTAAGTAGTCAATCTTTCTTAAAAATAAACGATCAATATACAAAAATATATGAATAAAGTCCATTTTTAAAACCTTACGCAATAAGCAGTGAATCCCATCTCCATCCTCCCTCCAGCCTCGCTGGGCTTGGAGACAGACAGAACGGGCTCCCAGAGTCACCCCACCACCATCACTCCACTACCACGAGCGTCGCAGGGAGGGCGTGTCGGGTACAGGATGGAGGCTGCGAGCCAGAGCGTCACCCTACTCGCGGCAGCCGCCCACCTGGCCAGACTGATACCCAAGTCATGGCCAGCCCAGGGGTACATGGCTGTCCTCAGCGACCCATGGACCCCACAGAGACAGCGGAGGACTTGGACCCAACACGGGCAGCTCCCTCAGTCCGAGTGTGTGCCCCACTGCCTCCCTCCTCAGACCTCTACTCCCCCTCTCAGGACCTGCCTCCCTCCTCAGGACCCGCCTCCCTCCTCAGACCTCTACTCCCCCCCTCAGGACCCGCCTTCCCCCTCAGAACCCGCCTCCCTCCTCAGGACCCACCTCCTTCCTCAGACCTCACCTCCCTCCTCAAGACCCCCCTCCCTCCTCGGGACCCGCCTCTCTTCTCGGGACCCCCCTCACCCCTGGGGACCCCCTCCCACCACCCCTACGGCTATGTCCTGGGTCCCCTTAGAAATGCCTGTTCTGCCCACCCCCCCCCCAGGGTCACCACACAGCTCTGCTCCAGGCGTCTCCTCCAGGGCTCTGTCCCCACCTGCCCTGAGCCTCCCACCTGCCCCGACACCTGCAGGCCCTGCTCCTCCCCATGGTGGGACAGAGAGCAGACAGCACCTCCCCAGGGCACAGGCGGGCCTCCCCATGAGTGCGCCTCCCCACCCTCTGCTCCCCTGTCCTTCCAGCACTGTCTCCAAGCAGAGGAAGAACGTAATCAGCTGCGTCACGGTCCACGATTCTCCCTACTCAGACTCCTCCAGCAACAACAGTCCCTACTCGGGGCAGCAGCGGGCCGGCCACAGCAGTGCCCACGCCTTCGACAGCAAGGGTGGCCTGGATGTCCACTGCCCTGGGAACCCCCGGACCATCATCGTGCCACCCCTGAAGACCCAGGCCAGTGAGGTGCTGGTGGAGTGCGACGGCCTCGTTCCAGGTAACAGGCGGGAGGGCCCCTCCGGGGCTGGGTTCTGTGCCCTGCTGCTGGACACAGGGCTGTAGGGGCCATGAGTCCAGGTGCTGGGTACTGCAGTGGGCCCTGACCCGTTTCATTCAGACAGCCAGGTTAGGGTCCTGCTCAACAGCACATTCCATAAGCAGCGTTTTCATTTGTGATTCTGTGATACCTCACAGCTTTTGCAGTGGCGCTTCATCCCGCTAGGCTGATAAATAAAAGCCGGTTGCCATCATGTAGACTCCAACTCGTGTGTGTTCAAGTAGAACTGTGCTCCACAGGGTTTGCAATGGCTGATTTTTTGGAAGTAGATTGCCAGGCCTTTCTTCTGAGGTGCCTCTGAGTGGACTCAAACCTCCGGAGTCAGCTTAACCACTGCACCACCAGGGCTCCTCATTTCTACAAAGACTGCATTATATCTGGAATAAAAAGAAAAAAAATACCCAGATGGCTGAGAAGCTCTGAGGAAGACTCAGATTTAAAAAAGAAAAAAAATTACAAAAAGTTATTCTCAGAAGGCCACTGGTTCTAAAGCAGCCAGTGCTACTATCTCTAAAGAGATGTTTATTCTCCCCTGCCTGGGACGGTGGCTTGCAGACTTCCTAGTAACAGACCAGAGCAGGAAGGGCCTGCATTCTGATGCCTGCCCACCCTGTCCTTTGGCCTTTCTCAAAACTAATCTATTCCCTTAGTGTAAAATCACCCCAGACTTGGAAAAATCGGGAAGAGAGGCGTCCCTGGCCTCGGTGCCCAGCTGGCCTGTTCCACCCATGCACTAGCCGGCTACAGCCACCCTAGTGGGAACTCGCGGATGTCAGGGAGCCCATGGCCTCCCTCGGTGGCTCTGAGCATGAGGAAGGCTGCTTTTCCGTCTGTTCTCATGCGCTAACCCTCCTGTGGTTTGGGGTCAGGGAGGGTCCTTGAGGATTTCTCGCGGAGCCTTCCCAGGTCTCTTGAATGCGTTGGGTTCTTTGGAAAGCAACAAGATGAACTCTGCATTGGCCCGAGACGGAGAAGTGATTGGAAGGGTGCAGGATCAGGGGGAAGTTCAACGACGAATCCCAAGCAGGGTCCAAACCGCTAGTGCAGGCGCCTGCTCGTGCCCACTGCCTTAACCTGTGAGACTCGAGCCAGGGCCCCATTCCCAGCAGATGAGGTGTGATTGTCCCCTCTTGGAGCAGACACCTGTTCCGTGAGCATCTGCTTTAGCCAGGGGGCAGTTCTAATGGTAATGACAACCAGAGCCGACACAGCCAACACCTGGGAAGCCCTTAACATGTGCTGAGAGACCTGTCTTCTGACATCCTGGCATGTCCTGGTCAACTCTCCGTCACCTTTAGACCCTGCCTGTACCGCTCCTACTCACCCCTTCACTGGGCACCTTCCTCAAGATCCGAGAGTTGGGCGTCTGCTTAGGGAACAGTGGGTGGCCGTTCCCACATTGACTGTGGGTGATTTTGTCTTGACGTTCCCTCATCTGTGCTCAACATTGCTTCTGGAGAGAACTGATCTGATTCTAGAGAGCTGAGGGGCAGGTTCCTGCAGCCACACCTGCCCCTGCATGGCACCCTGCCCTGTGGAGCCCCGATCCCGCCATGCTGGGAGTCGGCGTGCACAGATGGCTCAGCATGGAAGCTGACAGGGACGATTTGGTTAATGTAAACCTCCTCACCCTGTTAATTTTGTCCCAGTTCTTTGTGCCTCTGGGGTTCACCGTGGTCTCGTTTTTTGAGACTCGGTGTCTGTGTCCTGCTTTATCTATCACTGTGCATCTCTGAGTCTCAGCTGATACCCCCCGCACAGGGAACCCTGGATGAGACTCTGAACAAGCACAGAGAACGTTCCTTCTTCCCTCGGTTTCACCTCCCTAGATTTTTCGGTGTCACTAGGTCGTAATTCTAAAGTCCAGCAAGGGGTGCAGAAAAGATAAATTGCAGAGCAGACTTGTCCTCCATCAAAAGCCAAGGGAATAAAAGTATTTTACTCACATTGCAAACATTTGACCTCACAAGCGCCCGAGGAGGGGACAGTGCCCCACTCATGTCCCAGATGGCAGAGGTGCCCCCCCGGGAGGATCACTCAGGCCTGGTCTCAGGCTGTGGCTCACGCCGCCTCCCGTCCTTTCCCGTTTTCCTTTGCTCCACACCATCCTCAGGACCCATGACACAGGCCGGAGCCCCCTGCCGGTGTGAAGCCAAGTGAGGCCCCATCAGAGCTGGGCTCCTGGGGAGGCGGCTGGCTTGTGATCGGCCGGCCTCAGGTCGTGTTCATTCTGGAAGCCCCCCATCTCCTCTCAAGGGGCAGCCTCTTCTGGGCAGTGAGGTCCCACAGCTAACCAGTGGCCTGTCCCTCTCCCGACAGTCAGCACTGGCCACCATTCGTCCTTCTACAAGTCCAAGTCCTCCAGCAACGTGACCTCCACCAGCGGTCACTCTTCAGGGAGCTCATCTGGAGCCATCACCTACCGGCAGCAGCGGCCGGGACCACACTTCCAGCAGCAGCAGCCTCTGAATCTCAGCCAGGTAAGCCCCCCAGCGGACCCCTCCTGGTCAGGCTCTCAGCCTTGGACTTGTCTGACCACCCAGAGAGGTCACTGTGCCAGACCCTCACCCAGCTCCCAGAGGGCAGCAAGGTGCAGATGGGGTGGCCTCAGCACCTCCTTCCCTGTGGCTCACAGCAGGACCAAAGCAAAGTGACTCGTCTGATGTTGGCAAGCGTCATTGCCGTGATGCCAGAGCTTAAAAATAGGGCTGCCCACGTGTAGGGTGGATGCTATTTCAGCCCGTCACGGGGCACTTTATCTCCCAGCCCAGCCAGCCCAGGACACAGGGACAGGCCTGTAGTCTGAGGAAGACAGGTTTACTGACTCATCATAACGAGGGAGGCCCCACCCCTGAGACCCCAGGAAAGGAGAAGACTCATTCTAGGACTGGGAGGGAAGGTGGGTGGAGCACGTTTCAGAGGCTCAGGGCCAAGCAGGGCTGTACATGAGGGTCAGAGGGAACTCTGGTCCTGTTTCAAGGGAGCTGCGTTAAGGTGAACATGGAGTTCGTGCTCTGGAGCCTGCCCCTGCATTGTCCATGGAGGTGGCGTCTGCGTCAGTGACGTAGGCTCCTTGGTATGAGTGGGAGGTTTCATTTGTGCTGATAGAAGTCCACTCGGCCAAGGGCCTGAATCGGGCGGATTCCCCAGTAAGCAAGGTAAGCACAGGCTTACTTGTGCTTACTTCCTAATCTGTAGTGAGCAATTTCACATGATGTGGTGAAAAACGTGTGAAATTGTTCACTACAGATTGGAAAGTAAACACAAGTAAGCCCATCCTTACCTTGCTGACTGAGCCATCTGACCCATCAGAGACTGAAATTTGAAAAGAGGCTTTGAGTCTGTAGGAAGGTGCTGTGGGATTGGGAGAGAGACAGATGCCAGTCATATCTAGAAGCAAAATCTTTGATGTGGTGAGAAAATGTGAAATTGTTCACTAAAGATGATCTGGTAAGCAAGGTAAGCACCGTGCTTACCTGGCCTATTGGCTGATCCGCCCTGGTCTGAGTCTGTGATGTTAAAGGACAGATTTCCCAGCGAGTGAGAGAGCACCCCACACTCAAGGAAGGGTCCTTGACGCCTCTCGGCTGCCCGCATCCTTGGGCGAAGCCAAGTCTGTTAACGTGGCAGCTGCTGTGCTGGGAAGTTGTCCCAGCTGCCGACGGCAGGCAGAGTGGCGCTCTCCCCACCCAGTCAAGTTTTCACTTTCCCTGCATGCACTGGACAAGTCTTCCTGCACTCCTTCGAAGTCTGCCCTCCCCTCTTCTCCCTTCTCCTCCCCGCCAACCTTTCCTCTTCCCCACCCCTCCCCGCCTCCAGCCCCTAACCTCCCCTTCTGTCTCCTCCTCTCTTCTCCTCTCCCTTCTCCCACCCTATGTTCCCCCCTGACCTCCCTCCCCTCCCACCCCCGTGTCCTGCCCCTGACCCCTTCTCTCTCTGCTCCTTCAGGCCCAGCAGCACATCACCGCAGACCGTGCGGGGAGCCACCGCCGGCAGCAAGCCTACATCGCCCCCACGATGGCCCAGGCCCCCTATTCCTTCCCGCACAACAGCCCCAGCCACGGCGCCGTCCACCCCCACCTGGCCGCCGCGGCTGCCGCCCACCTCCCGGCCCAGCCCCACCTGTACACCTACACGGCACCCGCGGCCCTGGGCTCCGCTGGCACCGTGGCCCACCTGGTGGCCTCCCAGGGCTCGGCACGCCACCCCGTGCAGCACACCGCCTACCCGGCCAGCATCGTCCACCAGGTGCCTGTGAGCATGGGCCCGCGGGTGCTGCCCTCACCTACCCTCCACCCGAGTCAGTACCCTGCCCAGTTTGCCCACCAGACCTACATCAGCGCCTCGCCGGCCTCCACCGTCTACACTGGATACCCGCTGAGCCCTGCCAAGGTCAACCAGTACCCTTACCTATAAACCCTGGGGGGAGTGGGGGACGGATGGCAGTGAGGCAGGCTTTTTATACTGAAGCCCCTGCCACACACAGACGATGAGAACGGGGCAGGGGAGGGCGGGCGGGATGGAAGAAACTGAACTAGGACGTGGGATGACTCGGAGCAGAGAAGAGAACGTTTTGAAAGGAAGGGATTCAGGAGGGGGGAAATCTATGCTTTTTATTTTAAAAAAGAAAAAGGAAAAAAAAAAGAAAACGTCAGTAAGAGAAAACACAGTTCTCGAGCCCATTCTGCACCCAACTGGAATAGAGAAGAGGAGCGCCACAGAAGATTCTGGAAGCAGAGGCCCCCAGTATTTAAAGAACTATATCTATGAACTTCTCAAAGATTATTTTCATATGGCAGCAAGTGATATTTAAGAATATGCTGCCAGGGATGCCTGATATGGAAATCCAATAGATTTTTTAATGAATTGAACATAAGAATTAGGGATTTTTCCAGAACTCTGAAGGATCAGCCCCCACCCCCCTCCAGAATGCCAGACTGAAGCCTGAGGAGGCTGGTGTTTGGGGGTTGGTCTGGGGTTGGCAAGGCCAAGAGGTGGGAGGAGAGGACGCCTGGTTCTGGGAGGTGGCCGGGTGGGTGGAGAGCCCTGGAGAGGGGCCATCTCCTCTTCTGGAGCACTCTGGACAAATCCCTAAGCAATGTGATTCCTAAAATGTCATTAATCATGTATGTGGCAAAGTTGAGTTCCTTTCTTTTCTGAGGATTTCTGTTCTCTTTGACTCAATCCCTAGTCGCGTAGCGTAGGGCTAGCGGTCGTCACCGACCCCCGAGTAGAATGTAGCACTCTGTACCCTCGTTTTCGACTTTGTGTTCAACTCCAATGATACCAATAGACTATTCCTCAATGTGATTGCACAAAAATAAGTGATTTAACACAGGCGTGTGACCAGCGTGGTGGCCCCGGCATGTGAGCATGAGTGAGTGTGAGCGAGTGCGTGTGGGTGGGTGAGTGTCCCCGTGTGTCCCGGCACCGCCACCATCACAGCCCTCCCAGTCCTGGTTTTACATCCTCCCTCCTAGTGCCTTATGAAGGGCAGCCGCGTCAAAGGTTCACCTCCACGGGTACTCCCAGCTGCCAGCCGAGGCTAGCCGGACGAAAGCCCACTCTTCTTCCGCTGCTGGAACGTTCTCCTCTGGCCTTTCCTTTTGTCATTGTCTTTAGTTCCATATTCATGTCCTTCTCGGGCTCACAGTGGGGTGTTGGGGGTGGCCAGGCTAGGAGGAGGGACGCTTTGTAGCTTGAGATGGAGGACAGGTGGATCTGATGATGGTCATGGCTTGAGTTGAGTTCTGCTTGACGAACAGAGAGCAAGAGACTCCACTCCCTGCACCCTCGGCCCTCTCTGCCCCCAGCTCTGCAGAGTGGAACCAAAGGTCACATCTCTGGTTTAGTAATGTTGGCTGCATCCTCCCAGCCCCCGGAACCAAGGAGGGGACCGCCTGGTGCGTGTCACAGGACCACAGGCCATGGCCCCGCCTCTCCCCACCAGAAGCTGTTTGTTCTCAGACGCCGCCCCATTCCTGGCCTTGGGTGGATCCACAGGTGGTCTTCTGCCCTCCCTGCTTTGCCAGACCCTCCCTCCGCAGACAAGCCACCGCGTCCATCTGCTGCGGAACTCTTCTGCGTTACCCATGGCCGCCCAAGACGCGGATTTAGTTTTGGTTTTTGAGGGGCCTGGTTGGAGGGACACTTGTGAGGGTCTCCAGGGGGTCTCACGCCGCACTTCGGAAAACACTCCTATAGACAGTTATATTTCCAAAGAAATCTGCCCTTTGCCCTCTTCCACCTTTGATATGTTCTGGACGTTTTCTCAGGCTTTGAACGCTGCTGGGGGCCGGGGATGGGGGAGGTTCTCTCTATTCATTATTCGTAACAAATTACTCTTTAGTATGTGAACGTAGGGAGAATCTTTCTGTCCACAGATGGGGCTTGACAGGGGTTCCAGTCGTCTGATTTCTTGCGGCTGAGTCTATGGCTGGCCCTGATGCACGTCACTTAAATTCAGCGACCTTGTCCCGCCTCCCTTTCCTCCTGGCCCCGCAGCCTCCCTTAACAGCCTACTGTGAAAGGAGCGTTTGTAGTGATCCAGCATCGTTCCATTCAGAAGTCGTTATCTTAGCTCTTAGCTGTGAAATAACTCTGGAAACTCTCCCACCCCAACCGTGAATTCTTACCTTACAAAGAAAGGGGCCCCAAACTGGAGAGAGCTTAGCCCAGGCCTCAGGCTGGAGGGCATCATGACCCTCCTGCGCAGATGGAGTCGGGAGATGTTTGCAGCCAGCAGGATACTCTCCTCTTGGTGCCTCAGTCAGTACGTCTTCATCCGGAGGTGGGAGGTACCTGTCTGTATCTGAGACGACAAGAAAATGGTCAGTCCGGGAAGGGAGGGGGCAAGCCTTCAGAGGACACATGAGCCAGAGCCTGTGCCACACCAGCCTGGAAAACCCCTCTGTCACTGGTACTTTCTGGCAGCCGGATGGCAGCAATATCCCATCAGCCCTTCTCACGCCAAGGTACAGAAGCATCTAATCTTGGCTGTAGCTGAATCTCAGTTTGCCTTATTGGGTGGCTTCCCGGACCCCCTTGCACAGTCAGTTCCGGCCCTTTCTAGATCTGATCTTTTAGGGGAAAGGACAACAAAGCCCATTCTAAAGAAAACGCTTCTGTCTGCTTATTTCTTCATTTGGCATCTTCTTTTCTTCTTCCAGATCAGGAATGAAAGTTCCCTGCTGCTCATAGAGATGATATCATTGTACTAATTATTTTTGCTATTGCCGTTTTAATGACTATCATTATCATCACATTGATATTTTAGCTGGGGTTTTAAATGCACATTTATTCCAAGTGTCTTTGTGTTTTCTCTTTAATATTTAAATTTATTGTATCTGTGAGTATATGAGTAGACTGGAGGGACACCCAGATACCAGATTTTGTGGGACAAAAGAAAGGAAAGATGCGGGAATTGGGAAGATTGTTTCTGTCATCTCTGTTCCACAAAGAGCCATGAGGAAGAAGCCACCACAGAACACTAGTCTGAGGCAGAATCCAGGCCTTTTCTCTGTCCAGGCCAAATCTGGCTCTTGGTGACATGATCACCATCAGCGTTGTATTTCTCTGGCGTCCCAGTGGCCTGGGGCGAGAACTGAGGAGGCGTGTGCTTGAAGAATGGTGGCTCCTTGGGTGTGGCTCTCCTCGTCTCTGAGCCTTCCTGTAGTTCTGAAACCTGCTAACGGGAGCCTTGGCCTCCCCACCTTTGACAGTTTACGTGTCAAGCAGAAGCCCCTCTGTCCAGGGCTGACGCAGCCCCTTCCAAAATGTCCTCTCTTTTCCCACCCATGCACCAGGAATGTGGCTTATATCCTTCAATACAAAGACAGTGATCGCCTCCCAAAGCCACTGGGGGTGATGGTGTCAGGGTGACGGCTGGTGGTCCTTCCCCACAGTGGTCTCAGTCACTGCACTACCCTCATCTTCAGCCCCCTCCCCCCTGCATCTTCCCAACACAATTCCAGGGACAAGCCAATGGACCAAACAAACGTGAGTGGATGGGTAGGAGGCCAGAGAAACCTCTGGACAAAGTCCCTCAGCCTTCCACACATGGTGGCCATGTCCCCCGTGGGGTTATTGGCCGTGGAGGCACTGCAGGGCTGCAGCAGCCATCCCTGCTGGCTTCAACCGGCCTTCTCGGCAAAGCCCCCAAGCCCCGGCCCTGGATGAAGAGGGTTTAAATGGCCACCTTCCCTGGAGGAAGCAAGGCGTCAGGCTCAGGCCAGCCCCACAGTGTCCGCAAACATCCTTGCACCCTCCGTACCCGCACCTGACCTCTCCACCCCGCCACACACAGAGCTGTGGATCAAAGGCCCCAAGAGAGGACCCCAGCAGCGAGGCCAGCCCCCTGTGAGTGGGCACATACCAACTCCCACCCAGCCACTAACCCCAAGCCACTAGCGGGCAGGGTGCAAAGGCTGCCTGTCCCCAGACCGGGTCCCCGTGAGGGAACGCCAACAAGTCCTTAGGAATAACTTAGGGGCCATCTGCTTTAATTGGCCCCATCCTCCTTTGGTGAAGAAATGCCATGAAGAGTGAGAGGGAAGAGTTAAAGGGCAGGTCAAGAGGTGTCTCGCTTGCGTCCTACAGGGTCATTTGCTACTAAGCGGTGGGTTTCTGCTAACCACCTGGCTCTGGGCTTCCTGCCTCCTTCACAATGTGGTGCCTGTTTCCAAGGGGAGGGCGAGCAGGCCAAGGGCTGGGCAAGGCTGAGGCACAATGCCAGTCAACACTGAAGTGGAGCGTGGTGGATCTGGTTCGGAGGGGAGAGAAGGGCCGGGCCATGTTGCCATTGGCAGGGTGGACTGTACTTGCATTTCTAGCCTGAGGGCGGCTGTGGGAGCCCCTGGGCTTCCTCCTCTCCCCCTGGAAGACTCGACCAAACAAGAGATTGTTGGGTGTGAGGAAGGGATGGTGATATTAGCATAACTGCCAACAGGGCTATTTCCCTTGAGTAGACCTTTGGAATTGCAAACGCTCATTTTTGAACAAGCTTGTGGTGGAGGGTATTGGGTGTGTGAGTGTGTGTGAGTGAGTGGAGCAAACTTTCTTGGAAACTGGAGGAAGGCGATGAGGAGGCTTCAGGAAGTCTTTCGGTTGGTTCATGGTTGATAAAACATGATGCCTCCCCGACCCCAGCCCGGCTTTCGTCCTGGGTCTCTGCCGGGTGCTGAGGCGGGCAGGATGGGTAACCGCTGCTCTTGCTGACCTGTGAGGTAGCTGCTGTGACAGAAAACAGAAAGAAGAAAATCACTAGGTGAGACAATTCCTCAGAAAGGCAAGGATCCTTCCCAGCCCAGCCCATGTGACGTCGCCACCTAACATTCTAGCCCGGGGCCTCTGCCTCCTTCCCTGTCTGCCTCTTTTCTTTCTGGCATGTCTCACTTCTGACGGGGAAGCCTCAACACTGAGCAGGCCAGAGCTGTCCTCACCAAATTGAAAAGGAAGGTAAACCTGTTCCTTTTTTAGCCAAAGAAACCTTCTCAGAGACACCTCCACCTAAGGACAAGATGGCTTTCCTTCTTTCTGGGCAATAATGACATTGTGAGCAATGGGATTCCTTGTGTCTTTCTCTTTCCTTTCAGTCCTGACTAGGGTTTTGTTTTATTTTTTAATTCCATTTATTTCAAGACTGCACTCTCCTAAGAGGAGCAGAGATCAGCACATGCTGCTGCCGTCGGGAAGGTGGAGATGCCACAGAAGCACCTGGGTCTCACTCCTCACATCACTGCGGGCGGCACAGAGCAGGCCTTCTGCCAGGCACCTGGCTGTGTGGGGGCTGAGCACACTGGGAGCTCTGGGTAGCAGTACTTTTCCACTTTGATGCCTTAGGACTCTCACTTGTAGTCTCCACAGAACGGACTCCATAAAATTTCTGTCAGCCTACCAGGGAATCAGAGCTAGGGGAAGTGGGCTTTCAATGCAAAGGAAACCGTCTCAAGGCTTTGGGCACAGTTGCTCACAGTCGTTATCCACCGCGTAGAGGCTTCTCGCGTCTAGAAGTTAAGAAGAGCACAAGACCAGTTCTTCCTTCAGACTCGCTGAGAGTTGACGGAAGTAACCTTTGCGGGGCATGATTTCACAGAGCACCAGTTCCACAGGGGAGCTGCCTGGTCACCCCTTAAACACCGCCCCCCGCCCCAAGTCTTTGACAGCCTCTAATCTCAGACCCCACGTTAGAAATTATGTTGACGCTTTTTAAAAAAAAAACAGTTGCTGTTGAGTCAGCTCTAACTCATCACAACTCCATGTGCGTCAGAGTAGAACTGTGCTCCATAGGGTTTTCAATGGCTGATTTTTCAGAAGTAGATCACCAGGCCTTTCTTCCGAGGCCTCTGGGGAGACTCA